CTGTGGAACATTTGTTTTAATGATGCAAAGATGTGTTATATTCTTTTATGTTGCATTTGATTTACTCTGTGAAACTGTTACTCTGCCTGTCTAAAACACCTGATTGGTCTAATAAAGAGTTGAACAGCCAATAGCAAGGCAGGACAAAGGATAGGTGGGGCTGGCAGGCAAAGAGAATAAATAGGAAGATATATCTGGGAGAGATTGAGGAGTAAAAAAAGAAGAAGTCAGCCATCCAGCCACATAGACAGACATAGAATAAAAAGGAAAGAAAAGAAATACAGAAATAGAGAAAGGGAAAAGCCCAGAGGCAAAAAGTAGATGGGATAATTTAAAAAAAGCTGGCAAGAAACAAGCCAAGCTAAAGCTAGGCTTTCATAAGAAAGAATAAGTCTCCATGTGGATTTATTCAGAAGCTGGGTGGTGGGCCCCAAAAGAGCAAAGAGTAAAAACCAACCAAAGAGCTATAGTTGTGGGGGGGTGGTACTAGGGGTATGCCCTTGAAAGAGACACTGGGTTCCGTGTCTCTCTCTCTGCTTCTTGGCTGCTATGAGTAACAGGCTTTTTTTTTTTTTTTTTTTTAAAGATTTACTTATCTATTATGTATACAGTATTATGTTTGCATGTATCCCTGCACTCCAGAAGAGGGCACCCAGATCTCATTACAGATGGTTGTGAGCCTCCATATGGGTGCTGGGAATTGAACTCAGGACCTCTGGAAGAATAGCCAGTGTTCTTAACCTCTGAGCCATCTCTTCAGGCCCCAGTAACAGCCTTTCTACACCTTGAGTTTTCATCATGATGTAAATGCTGCCACTGGCCCAAAGAAACAGGTCCAATTAACTATGAGCTGAAACCATGACCCAAATAAACTTCCTCCCTGAGAGTCGATATGCTCCACCTGACCTGTCACAATAACCTGAAAGTTGGATAATACACCCACCACATTCCTAAGTAGGTGAACATAAAATCTGTCCTTTTGCACAACAAACTGAATTGGCCTATTCAAGTATCATATCCTGAAATCACACAAAAGCTTGGCTGTGAGTAATAGCCCCTATAGCCACCAGTTGCTAAACATGCTCTCTCCCCATCAATCAGTGAAAATCCAGATGCTACAAATCCTTATCTTCCCTGTTTCTCAAATGCTCTAGAGGCTATAGTCCCATAGCCCTGGGACGGGTGACCTGCTGCAGCTCACTTCTCTAGCCCCAGACCTCTCACCTAGTCTAAAGGGAAGCACGTCCTTACTAAGGTGGATCCAAGGCCAGGCTCAAGGGGGTTTCCACTTGCTTCTTTCTGATCCCACCCTGATCACCCTGCTGCTCCAGCACAAGAACTCTGAGTGCTCCTGTAAGCACATCTTGTTTTTGTTTTAAATAGTGAGCATTTGCCTGCATGTGTATGTATGCACACCATGTGCATGCCAGGTGCCCACAGAAACAGAAGAGGGAGTTGAACTGGAATCACAGATGGCTGTGAGCTACTGTGGAGGCACTGGGAATCCAATCTGGATCCCCTATAAAGAGCAACCAGTATTTTAACCACTGAGCCATCTCTCAAGCTCTGTTAGTACATATTTATTGTAACCATGCTGACTAAATGTATCCTTTTTTAAAAATTTTTATTTTTTATTTTATTTTGAGCTGAGGATCAAACCCAGGGCCTTGTGCTTGCTAGGCAAGTGCTCTACCACTGAGCTAAATCCCCAACCCGATGTATCCTTTTTTGTAAGCCTTTTCACTACAGTAAGCTTATTTGTTTCTTATTTAATGAGTATAGAATTTAAAACCACAAGAAATTTTTATAAACAGTGATAATGTTACTAACAATGGAAATAGACTCAATGCCACTGAACCACACTTACTTAAATGGTAAACTTTATGTTGTATATATTTTATCACAAGAAAAAAAAATCACAAAATATATATATAAAAGTAAATGGAAATGCTAACTAAAAGAAACTAGACATGTAAATCTATCTTACAATTCCACTTATAGAAAATTCTAGAGGAGTCCGAAGTATTTAGGCACAGGTTGCTGGGATGAGGGTGGAGAATGAACCCTAACACAGGACATTATGAGAGTGATGGAAATTGTCATTTTTATTGTGGTGGTTACACAATCCCTCTACATTAAAAACACATCAAATTACATACTTAAATTTGACAAATTATGTAGGGGGAAAATCAGAGACCTGAAATGGTCTAGCTCTACTTAAATAATTTCTGAAACTAAACAAAAGTACATTCAATATCAAAGATCACAGTTAGCAAAATAGGACTAAAACCTTGTTCCATATATAAAACCTAAAGCTCTTCATATCATATAAAATGCTACTAACATGGAAGTAAGTAGTAGAAAGTTATATTAGAAACTCATTATTTCCTGCTAGGATATGGATTTTAAACACTATAAGAATTCAAACATTCAAAAAGTTGTATTTAAAGGAAGACTATAAGCAACACACTGTACTCACTTCCCATCACTAGCATATCTACTACTTTGCAATGTACTTCAAGATTCTGATTCTTTCAATTCACATCTCTTATACTTTTGTTACATAGGGCATTGATAAATATTTCAATCTTAATTCTAAGGGCAGGGCTATCAATTTTGTGAAATAATCTTTCATCTTCTTATTCTAAATAGAAATGAAATGTTTGTAATATTTAACTGTAGCACGAATCTCTAAAGTGTCTTATTAATAAAGACAAAACCTGGAGCCAGGTATTGGGGTGAATGCTGGAAGATCAGAGAAGCAGAACAAGCCACAGCCACCTCACCTTGCCAATTCCTCAGCTGATCCTATTTCCTCAGACTGGAAGCCTCTGAGTCCTCATCCAGAATGAATCTCAGCTGAACCGCTGCTCAAAAGCCTAAAAGCTTAACCAGACTAGTTCCTGGTTGTCATGCCTTATATACCTTTGTGCTTTCTGCCATTACTTCCTGGGATTAAAGGCTCTTGTTACCACACCTGGCTGTTTCCAGTGTAGCCTTGAACTCACAGAGATCCAGGTGGATCTCTGCCTCTGGAATGCTAGGATTAAGGCATGTGCTACCACTGCCTAACCTCTATGTTTAATATTGTGGCTGTTCTGTTCTCTGACCCCAGATAAGTTTATTAGAGTGCACAATATTTCGGGGAACACAATACCACCACATTTAACATTAGAATTAGTCTTGGTTTATCATCCAAAACACTGGCTCCATTTTTAAAATAATTCACTAAATTTGTATGAAGTTCTTGAACATACTATGCGCATGGACAGTCGAATATGAAGCACTGTGTCAGGTGTGAGCAACAAAGCCTTTAATACCCGAGGAGTCTCTTGATACATTTAACCACTTATATTGACTATTCTCATCTTAACTCTGTCTTGACTAGAAAAAGGTCCATTAATAACTTATCAAATAACTTATAAAGCTTCATCTATAGCTCCAGAAATAACATTTTTCTGTCTTGACAAAGAAAATTAGCTTTCACTAAGCCATAAAATAGATTTTTTTGAATTCTCAATGAAGCATATAAGCAAAGCCACATTAACAAATCTAACCTTCACTTATTGCTTTCTGTGAGAAATGCACGTGTCTACATCAAAGCCCGCTGTATCTCTCATTTTCTGAAAATGCAATTTCCACAATTATTTTGCAAGGCATTTCAATATCTCAGATATACAACTTGAACTTGGAAGTTCATTCAAGGCTTTGCTACTAAATTTCACTTATTCTGTACACCCTCATAGCTTTATCTCCATGACCTATAGTTTACTGCAATTTAAGAGATCATCCTCTTTGTGGGGAAAGGGAAACTCTGAAGTAAGGATCTGCTTTTGTGTTGGTAAATTTTAGCTCCATAATGCAGATCTATTTGGCCTTCAAAACTGAGTCTGGAGATTCTATGTCACATTTAGTCTACAAATGCCACTCTTTTATTATAAACCAGCATTCTATTGATTCGGTTCCCTCTCACAACATTAACTGTCTTTTATGTTTTGTGGCTTTACTGCCTCAAAGCTGCAGCTGATGCCAATGCACACACAGTAACTTACTCTCCTTCCAAACACACAACACTGCATGGACCAATCATTTCCATCTCACTGTTAAGAATTCCATTTTTTTCTGCTTCACAAACTATTGCAGCTATGGTCATTTCAATATTACTTTAACATACCCATTTTTCTTAACTGTCTTCACTAATAGTAAAAAAAAAAAAATACATGTTTATGGCTTTCATTGCTCTTTTCACTTCTAGTCTTTTAACTTCTGAATACAAATGACAATGTTTCTTAATTTTACTGAATAAAAGTAATGTCCTAGAGCCAGGCAGTGGTGGTGCATGCCTTTAATCCCAGCACTCGGGAGGCAGAGCCAGGCGGATCTCTGTGAGTTCGAGGCCAGTCTGGTCTACAGAGCGAGATCCAGGACAGGCACCAAAACTACACATAGAAACCCTGTCTCAGGAAAAAAAAAAAAAGTAATGCTCTTTCATGTACCACCACCACCCAGTGGTAATTTATATTCTTTAAGAATTACTCCCCCTATCTGACAACTTTTTTTCCTCTTCAAGTAAATGTAAGCATGTACTTTAACTCATAATTCAATGTTCTGATATGGGAAGTTTAAGCTAGAATATAAACTGTCAACATTATGAAAGTTTTTAAGTGCACATATTCTAAATGCTGAGTAATGACTTCACCTTACAATGATCAAAAACTAGTTGATGTCAGGAACACCTCCTATAAAAGAGATATCTAAAAATCTAAAAAGCAGCTGCACATTACTTATTTTCTATGACTTAGAATATAATATAAAAGAAAATATTATCTATTTCTAACAAAACCACAGACAAAAAAGAAGAAAGAGCAGCAATCTTTGTGGCCACAACAGGACCCCTTTGAATTACAGAACACACAGAAGAGTGCTCTAACAGCTCTCTTAACGCTGTGCTTCCACAAATGTGATCTACGGGGAAGATGAAGAGGCTGCCAACTCCTTACCCAGTGATGATGGTGCCGGAGCTCCCTGATGGTGCTTTCAGCCTGCTCCAGCTTAGCGCTGGCCTCATCACTCTGCTGTTTGATGGTGGCCAACTCCCGTTTTATGAGGTAGTTTTCCTCAGCCTCCTGGGCTCTTGTCACTTGTCCCTTAGGACATAAGTTTTTGTGTGTGTATAAAGCAATTTACAATAGATTTAAGAAAGACTGCCTTTGTAAGGTTTAGTTATTTTTTGAAATGTTAAAAAAAAAAACAAAACACCTTAGAGAACAGAATAGCCTAGGTAATTACTAGCTAGAAGCTTGTTATTTTGCTCTAGCAAATTTGAGGAAACTAAATGAAATTTTCATCTGACAGTCTTAAGAACAATTCTCTTAGTTGATAAAAAATGCAATTCATGCAATATTACTGAGTTGTACATGCAGGGCTAAAATGTTCAATAAACAGTGGTTAATGTCACAGAATCCACTGTTTGCTATTTGAAATAAATACTTTAAAAATAAGGTTAGCTTTAAAACGTGCAGAGAGATAGGCATCCAATTAACAATAATGCATTTATCAAAACATTAAGTATAAATCCATATGCCAGCCCAAAGAATTATTTGTAGGAAAATGCATGTAAAATTGCATGCATTAAGTATGAATTTCTAAGTTTAGGATTTTCTTTAGAGGTTAGTGAAAACACTAAAAATAAAAAAGATAAAATTAAAAAAAAAAAAAACTATACCTGTATCAATCTATCTGCCAAGGAAGCACTTTCCTATAAAAGGAAAAATTTAGATAGAAATATAAAAGACAGGATATCAAAGTGATAAAATTAGGAATAAGAAGAAACATCGAGACCCAAATTTCATCTACTTTTCATTGGTAATTAAAATGGACATTTAAATTAAAACTTTTTAATAAATGTTTTTATTTTTAAATCTTAAAATAAATCAAAACAGGGACATTACAGACAATCATGTCTCTAAAAGAGATAACTCTTTTATTATTTAGGACAAACAAGTTTTTTTTTTTTAATATACCTGTAAATCTTTATTTCTAGGCCTAATCATATCATCAAACCACTTCCAGAAAGGGAGGAAGGGATAGTTCCGAGTTAACAATACACAACCCACAAAACAGGGCAGCAACTGGGTGCTACATCAGTATCCAAGAAGCAAGGCAGGAAAGATGATAACAGAAATTCATAAGTTCAACTTAAACTCTTAACAATAAAGAAGTACACTTTTGGTTCAAGAATTCAACTGAGACCTATGGACTTAGAGAATTCTAAATGCTAAGTCAAAACTAAGGTCCCATGCCAGTGAGAATGGGTACTTATCCTTCTAGACATAAAACTAAACTACACCTTCTTTATCATTCTAAAGATTTGATGAAATATCACTTTCTCTGTGAAAATATCTAACTCTAATAATGACAATCATTTAAGTTGCATATTTTACTTCAAGCTGGGTATTTGGTGCTGGCAGGGATAATATAAATTAAAAGGATTTAATAAGCTCAATATACGTGTGGAATCACCAAAAAGTAAAATTGCCTTCCAAGCCACTTCAATCCAATCTTACAAGAAGAACTCTATTTGACTTGGTATAAAGTATGTGCAATCACTACATCATCAATAGACCTGTAATGAATATCATGTCCTTGTGCACCGCTACTTAATATAAAATCATGGAGGCTTCTAGAATAAAAGACAAACATTGCAACTATCTCCCTTTCTAGTTATTTCTTTCTTGGATATTAATCTATAAATTTTCAGAGATTTTAAATATACTTGGTAATATCTTGAGGGGCAGATTCACATCAACTTACTCTCAACCTTTAGCTTCTGGATTCAGCTGTTTTCAATTAAGGAAACCTGTTGGGTTGGTTGTTTTTGTTTGAGACAGTAGGCTGGCCTGAAACTCACAATATGGCCAAGAATGACTTGAACTTCTGACCCGCCCTCCTCCCCCTCCCAAGTGCTGGGATTATGAACATGCATCACCACATCCAGTTTATATGGTGCTGGGATTGAACTCAGGACTTTGTGCTACATGCCTAGTCCAAGAAGACTCTTAAACTATATTAGTCAATTCATTCTGAAAAACACAACTACAAAACACATTCTATCAAAAGCACAATAAGAAAAATATGAAAATTTTCTTACTTGCTATTTATTTTACATGAAACAAAAAGGAAAAGCTAATGAGTAGATATCAAGACAATTCTAAAAACCAAAGAGTTATAAAACTACCTACTGTTGAAAATCAACATAAAAACAGATTTTAAAATGGGGAACCAGTCACTTTAACGAAATATAAAGCTGCTGTAGGCCTAAAAGAGCCACTGCAATGAAAACATGAGGCTCAGAACTCAGTAACATTTGAAATTCATCTTTAAAACATTCTGTCAGAATGTATTCCCAACTAAGTCATACTTTTTAGAGGTTTTATGAAAAGAAAAAAAAGCAAACGATATCAGTACGTCGCTCTAACAGTGACTTCAGTTCAGCCTCACCGTGGATGTTCACGATTAATTACTAGCTGGCACAGTAAGCTAGGGAAGCTGAGGTCAGCACCACAACTTAGGGGTGGAAACGCCAAATTCTGTTTAGAGTTGTTATATTTAAACAATAAGCATTCAACAGAAACTTGCAAGAGTCATTTTACTTACTTTTTCTAACGTTTCAATGCGCTGTTTTAAAAGCCTATTTTCTGTGCGTAACCTCTGCCAAGAAAAAGAAAAAAAAAGTTTGTTTGCAAGCAATCTTGAGAGAGAAAAAACAGATCCCTAAGTCACAGTGTTGATAACGTAGTACCTTTTACAATAAGAAATGACAGGCTCAGAGGTCAAGAGCACTAGTTGCTCTTTTGGAGGACCCTGATTTAATAATTCCCAGCACCCACATGGCAGTGGACAACTGTCTGTAACTCCAGTTCCAGAGGATCCGACACCCTCACACAGACATATATGCAAGCAAAACACCAATGGACATACAAAATAACTGTTATATTACCCTGTGTTGAACTATCAAAGGCTTAGTATAAGAATCATGGCAAAGGAAACAATCCCATTTGTCATCCCAGCTGTGACTAAACTTTAAACATTAAATGTAATTCATAAATGGCCTTTGTTTTCTCCATTTATAATGGCTTATATTCTTTTTTATATTTATTTCTCTTAATTTTATATGTATGAGTGTTTTGCCTGAATGTGTTCCGTGCACCACATGTGTGCAGTGCCCAAGGAGTCCAGAAGGCACTGGATCCTCTTGGGAATGGAGTTACCGACCATGGTGAGCCACCATGTGGGTGCCGGAATTTAACCCTGGGGTCCTCTGCAAGAGCAGCTAGTGCTCTTAATTGCTAAATCATCTCTACAACCTGCCTTCTATAATCTTAATCTAACATCCTTGTCTCCCTACAGAGACTAACAATATAATTAGTATTCAAATATTAGTGGGACAAAGAATAAACTTCAAATATGCATGTTCATAGGATAAATGTCAAATTGTTGCTTAAACTATACCAGTTTCCATTCATATTACAAACACTACTGTACAAAAAGCCTTACTGTCTAAACATTCAAAAGCATTTACCATGACTTGTTTCTAATTAAGAAAATTAAAAACTCTAATTACTAGTATTTTCTTGTATAAAATGAAAAATCAAAAATTTTTTAAAAATGTACATTTATGTAATTGTCAAATGCCAAACTTCTCAATAGTTATGAAGTTACTATCAGGTGTTAAATCTAAATAATCCCACTTTGACAATTAATCTCGTTATATATTCCATCAATATAATTTATTAATCCCATAAATTGTTCCTGATGTGTGCGTGCATGTGTGTGTGTGTGTGTGTGTGTGTGTGTGTGTGTGTGTTTGTGCACACCCACGTGCACATGTGGACAAATGGTGACCTGCTCTCCCACTCTTTGCTTTATTCCCTTGACAAGACCTTTCACTGCCAGGAGTGAAGCTGAAGGTCAGCAGGACCCAGGGCTCCCCCTGACTTTCCCTCCACAGCACTTGGCCTGGGCTGTAGGTGCGTGCAGCCTTGTCCAGTTTTTCACAAGGGTGCTTGCTAGGGATTCGAACTCAGATCCTCACGCTTATGCAGCAAGTGCGCTTACTCGCTGAGCTACCCTACCACACCAATTTCTGAATTGTTTAATCCATGTTTTCTTTCCATTTTGTCAGCTTTCACACTTCAAACCCTTCACCATTTTACATCAATTTCTTCCAGAGCTCAGCCCAGCTTTCAATCCTAACTTCCCGAGACTCACTTCTAGAAATATCTTCCTCAGAAAATTCTTCCACCAGTTCAATCTACTATTTTTCTATTAAGACTAAAGTACAGTTTATATGACACACAAAAGCCTCAGTTTGGAAAAATAAGAAACTCAATTTTTACGTCTTATTAAGTGGCTCACAGACTGAAACAAGTCTTAGTTACTACAAAGAGAGCGGGGTTTTCTTGCTCTGCTCTCTACAATATAGTGAGTTAAGAGCTGAGAATACAAATAACCGTGTGAAGAGAAATGTTTACTTCTTGGCAACTCCTACAATGTGCAGTATAACAGCTGCCAGAAATTACAAACACTGCTACAAGTCTAGAAAGTGACTCACACACACACAAAAAAGTATTCCCAAAGTTTTCCCACTCATATATTAACAATAAAAGGTAACATTTTGCTTATCCTAAAAGATTTAGATCCTAAATTCCAGTCAGACAACAGTGTAAAAGTTAATTACAACAGAAATCATACTAAAATAAAATTCAGAATATTCACCTGGATTTCCATCTCCCCCCATATTAAATCTTCCGTTTTGCTACAGATTAATATTCCCTCCAAACAAAAACAAGAAAGAAACACGTAACCACATGTCCTAGTATTGTCTTTAAATAAATTACGGTATAAGCATTTGTGTGATACAACTTCATAATTAGCTGACAGGTAAGACTGTTTAATACATAGTATCCACTTCAGTGTTACTTTAAAAAGTTTATTTACTCGTTTTCTATAAGTGTATGTTTTGTCTGCATGTACACCTGCACACCAAAAGAGGGCATCAGACCACACGGGACAACAGTTGTAGACTGCAGTGATAGACAGCCGTGAGCCACCATGGGGTTGCTGGGAACTGAACTCAGGACCTCTGGAAGAGCAAGTGCTACTTAACCACTGTGCCATCTCCCCAGTCCCTCACGGTTCCTTTTTTAAGCTTCAATTTCTTCTTCCTTTTCTTTAGACACTGTATTTTAGAAACTATAGCTATGCACCCTACTGTAATATCTGGTGGAGGTGGGTCAGTGGCTGGCTCAATGGTAAGGTGCTTAACAGGATGCCAGAGACCTGAGTTGACACCCTGTACCCACAGGGTGGGAGGAAGAAACTGACACCCATGGGTTGTCCTGTGACCTCAATGTGTGTGTTATAATGAGACACATGCACCCATAGACATGTATGCATAGGAACACACATGATAAATACATGTATTTTATTTAAAAAAAAAAGGTAATTCTTGGGTTGGTTGTTTTATCTTTCTCAAGCCCCATGTACTCTTCTGAACTCCATGGGCACCAGGCACGTATGTAGTACACATACAAACATGCAGACAAAAGCACTCATACACATAAAACAAATAAATCAAACAGAAATTACAAAAACATTGGAGCTTGGGGGAGTTGATGAAGAGGTGAAAACAGGATGTGAGCCAGGCAGACCTGATGGTGTGTACTTATAATTTCAGCTACTCAGGAAGCTGGGAACAGGGAAGCTACAAGTTCAAGGCCGTCTGGGCTACAAAGTGAGTCCAAGGCCAGTATGGACAATTTAGTGACCACCTACCTCAAAATAAAAGCCAAACACAAAGGCTAAGGATCTAGCTCAGTCCATGGTAGTGCAAGAATCCTGGAGTTTGTAAGGCTCTGGGTGCAATAGCCAGCAGACAAGAAGGCAGTGATGGAAGCAACAGGAAGTAAGAGAACAAGGGAAGGGCCCAAACATGGAGGAGGAGGAGAACAGATTAAGGTTGGTGAAATGGGTAAAACACTTGCTACGGAAACACTCTGAACCCCCAGCACCCAAGTAAAAAGCTGGACACAGCTGCGTGTGCCCATAACCCCAGAACTGGGGCTGGAGATGGATTCCAAGGGTTTACTAACCAGCCAGCTGGCTGAACAGTAAGCAAGTCTCCAGCTCAGTGAGAGACCAGGGAAGTAACGTGGAGAGTAGGTTAAGACTTCTGCTGTCCTCCTGTGTCTTCCTCCTGCACACTCACGTGCATTGACCACACATGCATGCACACGATAAATAAATATTTTAAGATGAAAAAAATACCTTGAAGATCAACATATTTTACTTGTTTTTTTCCTTTCATATACTTTATTTACTTAGTATGTTCTACTTTTTAACCCAGATGGTTCTCAATCAACAATTACCTACCACCTGCACAGCACACATGTAGCTAATACTAAAAAATATTATGTGAGACATGATACAACTTCCCCAATAAACAAAGCTTTTCTTTAATTCTGAAAATACAGAGATTAAATCATTGACTAATTGCTGTGGGATGACTTTCTGTATGCTGTGAATGTGTGTTGCTCTTACTGGTTGATAAATAAAGTTGTTTGGCCAATGGTGAGGCAGAATAAGGTTAGGCGGTACTTTGAAAACAGAGATGAAGAAGGGCGGAGTTGGGGCAGACTCCAGCTAGCCTCCGAGGAAGCAGGACATATAGAAAATGACATAACAAGCCACAAGCCTCGTGGCTAAATACAGATAAGAATTATGGGGCTCAACTCAGGGCAGGAATTTCCACATAAGACCTGAGGAAGCTTTAAAAAAGGTTCTAGGGCTGGAGAGATGGCTCAGCGGTTAAGAGCACTGACTGCTCTTCCAGAGATCTTGAGTTCAATTCCCAGCAACCACATGGTGGCTCACAACCATCTGTAATGAGATCTGGTGCCCTCTTCTGACCTGCAGGCAAACATGCTGTATGCATAATAAATAAATCTTTAAAAAAAAAAAAATAAAATAAAAAAAAATAAAAATAAAAAAGGTTCTAAATGCTCAGGAATGGAGCCACACTGGGCTTCCTAGTCTCATGCCAGCAACAGAGCAGAGATGAGTCTCCAGACAGCTGCCAGCTACCATGAGCTAAGCTGCATGGTGGATTTCCACAGTCTCACAAAGGCCTTGGTACAAAGTGGTTAATCAGCCATGTGTGGTGACACTTTGTGCTCTGACAAAAAAAGCTTGCCTGGAGATCAGAGTGCAGAGCTAGCCACTAGTTAACCATACAAGCCAGGCAGTGGTGGCACACACCTTTAATCCCAGCACTTGGGATCTCATGCCTTTTATCCCAGTACTTAGGAAGCACACTCCTTTAATCCCAGCACTAGGGAGGTGGAGACAGGAAGTGATATGGCTGGGCCGAGAAAGGAATATAAGGCGGGAGGAGACAGGAGCTCACCCCTTTTTCAGTCTGAGGAGTTGTAGAGATAAGAACTCTCTGTTGGCTGGCTGCTCTGCTTCTCTGATTTTTCAGCATTTAACCCAATATTTGATTCCAGATTTTTATTATTAAGACCAATTAGGATTCATGCTACAGCCACAAGCTTCATGGTGGATTTAGAAATACACAGTAAGAACAGGTCACAGTATGTTTAAAGAACATGCGTGGGCTTGAGAGAGAGAATATATAGAAAAATCGTTTAAGAACAAAATAATAAAGTACTTTAAGAAGAAATATAATAAAAAATATATATTAAAAATCCACCTAAGGATGGAAAATACACAGTGTCTGGATACGGTATGTTATTGCATTGTCTTTAAAATTTTTGATAGCTAATGAACAAATGATAACTGCTGAGAGACATTTGATTATAAAAACTGCTGGATCAAATCAACCTATACACTTTAGTGTAGCTAGAGTTTTCCTGCCTGGCCCACAGTCAGGACAAATCTCTCTCACCTGCCAGTCCCACAGCCGCTCAAACCCGACCAAGTAAACACAGAGACTTATATTGCTTACAAACTGTATGGCCGTGGCAGGCTTCTTGCTAACTGTTCTTACAGCTTAAATTAATCCATTTCCATTAATCTATACCTTGCCACATGGCTCGTGGCTTACCGGCATCTTCACATGCTGTTTGTCATCATGGCGGCTGGCAGTGTCTCTGACTCAGCCTTCCATTTCCCAACTTTATTCTCCTCCTTGTCCCGCCTACACTTCCTGCCTAGCCACTGGCCAATCAGTGATTTATTTATTGACCAATCAGAGCAACACATTTGCCATACAGAACATCCCACAGCACTTTAGAAATATCTTGACTTCAAAATTTGAGTCTGGGGATGTGGTGCTTTGGGAAAGAGGTTCTGCTTTCATTTCCACAGAAGGTAAGAGGTTGTGGATTCTTTCTGAGTTAAGGGAAATCAGGTTTGACTGAGGAAGACCCCTGAAAAGCCTGACTGCAGACATGGGAAAATCAACCCAAAGTGACTACAAAACACATGATGTGTATTTTACCTGCTCAGACATAAAAAACTATCTTTGGGGCTGGAGAGATGGCTCAGAGGTTAAAAGCACTGACTGCTCTTTCAGAGGTCCTGAGTTCAATTCCCAGCAACCACATGGTGGCTCACGACCATCTATCATGAGATCTGGTGCCCTCTTCTGGCCTACAGAGATACATGCAGACAAAACACTATACATAATAAATAAATAAATCTTTTACAAAAAATTATGAGGGGCTGGAGAGATAGCTCAGAGGTTAAGAGCACAGACTGCTCTTCCAAAGGTCCTGAGTTCAATTCCCAGCAACCACATGGTGGCTCACAGCCATCTGAAATGAGATCTGGTGCCCTCTTCTGGATTGCTGTCATACATGCTGTATACATAATAAATAAATAAATCTTTTAAAAAATTATCTTTGGCTGATTTATGTACAATATACAGTTCATATTTATATTAGTACAGATACATATTTTACCTTTAAAAGCTTATGTATTTTCAGAACAAGGGGGCCAGACACTAATAAAAATGGATGGCCCAGATGATCCAACGTTTCAATACACCTCTGTTACAGTTTCCTCTGAGTTCTGCATCTAAAACAGCTTCAAGGCTGCTGGCTGAGATGGCCCAGCTGTACAACATACCTCAGTCAGGATTTGACCATAATTCTAAATTTTCTCAGGGTCCCCATAAGATTACCAGCACTCTCAATCAACAGATAACTATGCCCAAATTCCGAAAATATTGTTTATGAATGTTTGTTTTCATTTAAGAGGTATTGGTTATAAATTGTTAATGGTCATAGTCAATCTCGTTCTAAAGAACAAAGGGGGATATGATATAGAAATAATGGGGAAAAGAGTAGATTATCATGATAAAAAAGAGTAGATTATTGAATCTACTTTAATCCAAGAAACAACTGTTAATTTCAAAATATTTTACACTGATATGGATTTTAGTTTATTGATACAAATTTAAGATCAATTTTGTTATACTGTATGTATATTTCTACTCTTGTTTAAGAAGCTCATTTAAAAATATAATGTATAATTAATAAATACAGATTAATAGTCATTTATAATAGTCAAACTTATAGCCATATTAGCTAGGTTTTCTAGGTAAACAAAGATATATGTTAATTAGATAATCTCTAAACACTTCAAAGACCTACAGAATATGGCATTTAAAATGTTTTAAGAACTCAGACATTTCTCGACACTGAGTCACATCTGCTCTTGGCAGCACCAATTACTTCAAAGAGGATGATGGGCATTGAAGAAACCCCTTATGGAGTTTGCTTTAATGTGGCAAGGCTAGCCATTTGGGCAACAAACTGCTCTTGCCTGGACTGCTTGACAGTATGCTGTATAAACTGGACATACAGGACCCACAGGAAGGTGAACTTTGCCAAAACAAGGTGGGATGGTCCTTCAGGTTCCTGCTTCATAGAAAAAACTGCCAGACATTCTGCAGGACACAGAGGAAAGTGACTGATGAACTTTGCCAATAGGCAGAACAGTCCTTCAAACTTCCTGTTTAACTAAAAAGTCTGCCAGATACTTTAGGCCTCTTGACTGATGATGAATACTCCAACTTTACAAAAGAACTTTGGGTGACTGTCCAGGCAGCCAGATGTTGTAGACAAATTTCTAAACAGTCTTATTAAATAAAAAACAGCCAAATATAGGGGTGAAAGCCTTAGAGATCAGGGAAATAGTGATAGCCACCAACCTTACCTTTCCAGCTCTGCAGCTACCAAAAGTGAGCTACTTCCTGTCTACCTACACCTTTATTGCCTTGCTGTTCTGCCCTCTCATTGGCTCTTAGCCCACCTACTTCACTTCCTTGTTACTGCCTGTCTATACAGACCTCCAGGTCTCTAGGGTTGGTACTGGAATTAAAGGCGTGTCACCATGCTTGGCTTTGCTCCCTAGTGTGACCTTGAACACACAGAGATGCTATCCTGCCATCCAGGGAGCAGCATGTAATGACACACAGGTAAAGCCACGGAACATGTGGCAACATATAGATTAACAGAAATGGGCTGAGTTTAAGTGTAAGAGCTAGTCAGTGGAAAGCCTGAGTTAATGGCCAAACAGTTAAAATTAATATAAACATCTGTGTGTTTACTTGGGGGATGCTAGTAGGAGAGATTTGTCCCGGCCGAGACACAGGAAATCTTCCAGCTAAAAGATGTCTGTCATTTCTAGAGTTTTGGAAGTTGCTTGCACTGCACTTCCTGTTTACTCAGGTAATATTCTATCATTCTGAGGTCTGTGACGGAGTTGAAGACTAGTTAAGTTATAGTTTTCCTTAGTTATAATAAAAGAATATTGTCTTTAATTTTGCTAAATATAAAATAGTTACTTGACAACTTTTTGTTGTATATAATTTTACTATGTTAAAAGTGAAACCTTCCGCCGGGCGGTGGTGGCGCACGCCTTTAATCCCAGCACTCGGGAGGCAGAGCCAGGCGGATCTCTGTGAGTTCGAGGCCAGCCTGGGCTACCAAGTGAGTCCCAGGAAAGGCGCAAAGCTACACAGAGAAACCCTGTCTCGAAAAACCAAAAAAAAAAAAAAAAAAAAAAAAAGTGAAACCTTCCTTTTGGATTAGACAGAAAGGGGGAAATGCTATGGAATGTCTTTCTGTACACTGTGAATATGTGTTGCTCTCACTGGTTGGTAAATAAAGCTGCTTGGCCAGTGGCAAGGCAGAATAAGGTTAGGTGGTACTTTGAAGACAGAGATGAAGAAGGACAGAGTTGAGGCAGACTCCAGTAACCGCTGAGGAAGTAAGACATATAGAAAATGAGGTAACAAGCCACAAGCAGTGGAGCTAAACAAAGGTAAGAATTATGGGTTAATTTAAATGTAAGAGCTGGCTAGTAATAAGCCTGAGCCATCAATCAAACATTTACAATTAATATATGCCTCTGAGCAGTTATTTGAGAACTGGTGGGTGGGAGAGAACCTTCCAGTTAGAGCTAATGATCTTTTTTTCTGTGAATGCCACTTTGATTCTCTATTAGATGACTTAATTTCATAGAACTATGAATAAATTAACATGGTGAAATACAAGTTGGTCCTCATCCTCAGAACCTTGATTTGCAGTTCCAAATGTTTGAAATATGTGCTAACCCACATCCCATGCCCACGCATCTGAACAAAGACTTCTCCTTTCAGCAGGCTCCAGTGTGGGGTATGACATCACTCGTGGCCCTAAAAGCAAAGCAAACTCCAAAGCAGCAGTTTAGTAACAATAAAGGTGGAGGAGGAGATCCACAGGGTTCTCTTTATGAAAATGTTCACACTGTTGTTAGTAAGGACTAGGTGGCAGCAACACGAATAAGGCATCTAGAAAAAGGAAGACAGCTGACATGAGGTAGATCACCCAGGAAACAGTAAAATCACACTCAGAAGGCTTCTGAGGAAAACTAAACCAAAAATGAGCACTCATTCAACTGAAGCCCTTTAGAGACCAGGATGGTGAAGTGGTATTAGAGCCATGCTCAATAACACTTAATGGTAATCATCTGATGCCTTACCAGGTCCAAGTCAAACCCAAACACACTTAAACGGTTTTAAAGGGGGAAAGAAGATATTCCATAAAAAATTGTATGCACAAGGTGTACAAACGTATACATAAAAAACCTGAAATGGCCGGGCGGTGGTGGCGCACGCCTTTAATCCCAGCACTCGGGAGGCAGAGCCAGGCGGATCTCTGTGAGTTCGAGGCCAGCCTGGGCTACCAAGTGAGTTCCAGGAAAGGCGCAAAGCTACACAGAGAAACCCTGTCTCGAAAAACCAAAAAAAAAAAAAAAAAAAAAAACCTGAAATGCTTACTTTAATTTCAACCTGCTCTTCCATTTCTTTTGTTTTTATTGTAGTGTATTCTTTTTCGAGTCTAAAAACAAAGGAGAAAGTTAAAGTTATATTTTCATTCAAAAGTAATTATTTAATTTAAAAGGACATATTCACATAAAACACAATTTCTTTATTTTTCCTCAAGGTATAACCTGAAATAATTTACATGAGAAAAAACAGCGGAATAGTCGAATGGGCAGCGGAGGAACGATCGGGACAGGGATAAATGCAGGACCACTGTATGTGATGCAGGCAGATGTAGGCAGAAACATTTTGACATACACACTTAACATCACTGGTAAGCTGTGAAAGTCAAGGGAAGCAGACGCCCTTATTTTATACCAACGGACATGAGATATCCAGGAACACGGCATCACAGTTTCTGCACTTCGCTTTATAATTTCTAAGAAGGAAAATAAATGTGGCAAAGTATTAACAATTGTTAAAGCTAGATATAAAATATGGATATTTATCATTCTAATCTATTTTTCTGTATATTTGAATATTTTCCTGATTGAAAAAAGGATAGTTAATATATGATATGAATGACTATAAACTATTCATTTCTTTAGAATTAAACTTCATAAAAAGAATGGAAAGCTCTATTGGTTTTGTTTTGGTACTTTTAAGTCAAAACTCAGTACACATTGACCTTCTTAGAGGAAAGACAATAAAAGAGAGGTTAAAAAGGCCAGGTGTGGTGGCACACACCTGGGATCCCAGCACCCAAGAGGAAGACGCGGAACAGTGAGCTGGAGATGAGTCTGGGCTACACAGTAAGACCACGTCACAAATAAGGCAAAGAGAGAGGACTGGTGACGTGGCCTTGTGGGCAAAGGCACTACCAAGCCTGATGACCTGTTCATGAGTGCAAACATACAGAATAAATAAACGTAATAAAAACTAAATAGACGTTAAAGATAAAATACAGAAGCAATAATTAATAGAGCAAGGACCTGGAGGAGATGGGAGTATCTTGTACTCAGAATTAATACTATAAAGGAACAAAATATTTTATTTAGAAAAAGGGAGGAAGTCAGACAAAGGGGCATATACCTTTAATTCTATTATATGGGAGGTTAGGTAGGACTGCCAGAGTTCAAGGCCAGCCTGGGCTACAAAGTGAGACACTGTCTCAAAAGAACAACAAACATCCTGCTACTATAAGCATTGCTATAGTTTAGAAACATTTTATACCACAGAAGCCCCAGTGACGTGAATCTTAACTATGACCTTAGGCTAAGAATCATTTAAGTATTAGAAGCTAGAAAAGAATTATAATAGCTATAATTCTTCATTAATATACTAACCTTATTTTTAAGAGAGAAAAAAATTAAGCCAGGAACTGAGATTGCCTATCTTGAACATTTTTTTAATGGAATCTGTTCCACACAAAGCGTCTCCAGGAAATAACAATAAAAAGATGAAAACCTCTCCTCAGTGCTGCTAGCTGTGCTGCTTAAGGGACCCTGGGGATGGCTGAGAGGAACACTATGGCAGTGACTGGACCCACTAACTGTTCTTCAGTAAACAGCATGGTAGGCTTGTTGTACAACCTGGTGGTAGAGTATGTACTGAGCATGCTCAATCCCTCTGTTCAATGCCAAGCACCAAGAGTAATAATAACTACTAAAAATAACAGCACACTTACACACGTATTCATGCCATACTCCTAACTCCCATCAGAATGGGAAGGAAGGGGAGATTTTCAAAGTAGTGTGCAGTGGTCCTGTGTATTACTATTAAAAGTGGGATGATAGTCTAACATTACCTTTGTTGTACTGAGGCTAATACTACCGAAGAAGGTAAAAATTGTATGGCCGAAGGAGGAAAAATGTGGTACTTATCACAAGAATGCTTCGCATGTCCACTGACCTGCCTACATGCTTCAATAAGCTCCATCACTACATGAGATCATACAAAATACTTACTTTTTCATTTTTTTCGAGTTGTATTTGACTTGGTAAGCTGACTGGATTAATTTTTCTGGGCCACCATCAAACTGATGTGGAATGACCTTCTGAAAATGCTAAGAAATAACCAATGAAAAGCAGCATTATTACTACAAATAATTTATTAATGGCAAATTTAGAAACATACAAGAAATCACAAACTGACTTACCTGTAACATCCCTTCCATGTCAAGTTGCATTAATTCCGCCTGATTCATTTGAAGAAGTGCTAATCCTACTCGAAACACTATTTCTAAACCCTGATGAAACAAATAAAATAAAGCCAAATTTGTTTATTCTTCCATCAAAAAAAAAAAATCATTCAAAATAATACCAAGGTAAGCATTTAAGGATCTAACTAAGAACTGGCCAACATGAACAAACATTTAGACTTGATGGCCCACTTGTCCCTTTACAACTACTCACCCCGACCACGTGGCCCTACAGTCAACACAAACACTGGCACAAACAGGTGGGGCTGCATCCCCAAAAAACAAAGGAAAGGACAGCTTGGCCACGGAGATCACAGAGCTGAGTAAGTGATGAACTGTTTGCCAACTCCAGCCCAAACTAAACTAGATAAATCTTATAAACTGATCCTTCCAAGAAGTAACTAACAATACTATGTTCAGACAACTGAAGACAAAGATCACTCACTACCATGTCAATGACAACTCAAGAACAATGGGAAAGCCTTCACAGAATAGAGGCAGCTTAACTATAGGAATCATGTCTTATTATTTGAGAAACAGATGCACTACGACAGTATAAACTGTGCAGCAGAATTTCCTTCTCATTTACTCTCACTGTATCAAAGGTGATAAAGAGGATGCACTTGGAGAAGGTCCCCAAGTACCTATAATATCTACAGACAGACAATTAAACTCCCTGTAAGTCTCAGCTTCCTCATCTATCATCCAACAAATGAGGATATTACCAGAACCCAACTAGTAAGGTCGTTAGGAGGTTTAAAGGAGATTAATTTGTGGAAGCAGTGCAGTGAGACACAGAGGCAGCCTTCTGTTTCTACTTACATTGCCCTGCTCTAATTAATCCAATGACTCCTTTATTCTGTTTTTATTCCTAATCTGCTCATTAGCTTACCTCAGACATAAAGATATCAAATATCCTTGTTGCAATTGGTAATGGGAAAGTTGTAAGAAAGACAGTCAGAAACCAGGATGATGCATACATTGATGTATGGAAACTCTGAGATTGAAAATGTACAAAGAGCTCTGGAAGATGCTCCTAGAGAAGAGAAGAGAATTAGTTAAAATAAAACAAAATTGAGGATTTCAAGCCAGACTACCTGTAGGTGAGCCTAGAGCAAACACAAAGAGCTGGAGTAACAGGAAAGCTCAAATACAGAAACTGAAATATTGACATTAACAGTGAAGGGTAAAGAAATGACCTAGAGTGGGAACTTCGAATACATCATAATGTTTGATTCACTAATAAGAAAACTACATCATAGCCAAATTAAACTTAAATCAAATATCCATCCAATCACTGTGTTGAGCAGCAAGGAAATAAAATGTTTATTTTTTTTCATCTTGTTGGTTAAGTATAGTTGTCCAATATTGTCTACATTTTTAATTAACTATAATATTTCTTAAAATTTCTAAATAAATGCCATGCTGAAAACTTTCAAGTACCATTTACCATCAGTAATCCATCTTTACCTCCTACGAGTAGGAAAAATACAAGATCTTCAACAATGTCTTAACTCATAGCACCGAGAGTTTAAGGTTTATATCAACAAACAAAATTACTATTTCAGAAAAAAAAATTATCAATGATGTATTGTGATTTTCTTAAAATGCAAAAACATTTTCATCTCTCATTCTTTATATAACACAGGTTTTCATGATTCCAGAGAAAAGTGACTCTGAAAATTGCTTCTTGTGCAGCAAAAATGACGACTCATAGTCTAAAATTCTTTCCATCTAATTGGAATATAAATAAAGGAGAATACTCCTACCTTCCTATTAAAGGATAGTACAGTAAGATTATTTATTTATAAAATTTAAAATTAAATTAAAAAAATAAAAATTAAATCCAGAAAAGTAAAACTTTTCAAAAATGTTTTTACCAGGTCTGGTGCCACACACCTTTAATCCCAGCATTCAGGGGGCAAAACTAGGCAGATCACCGTGAGTTTACAGCCCTTGTGATCTACAGAGTGAGTTCTAGGCCAGCCAAGGCTACCTAGTGAGACCCTGACTTGAAAATAAAAAAAAGACACTCATCGATTTCCACTTGACTCTGACTCCAGTCTTCCTCTTCTCTTTATCTTTACGCGGTGGCTTCTAGACAATCTGAACCTGAGGCTGGTTTCATAAAATTATGGAAACATGCAGAAAATCACCAGACTGGGGATGGGGACAAGAGGCCAAGAGAAAGGAGGGAAAGAATGAGCAGAGCACGGACAGTCTCAGCAATAAGGGCCCCGGCTCTCCCCACGAGTACTCAGACCACTTAACAGGAACAGCACAGGAGGAACAGAAGCAGCACACTAAGTTCGGGCACACTTGAGGCCGATGCTTAACGTTCGCATAAAAAAGCCCCAGACTGTGACCTACATGTCATCACGGGATTATAACACTGACTGCTTTTCAACTGCTGCTGTGCCTTTTTTGTGTGTAAGTATTTTGCTTGCGTGTACCTATGTGCATTGTGTGTGGCTGCTGCCCATATAAATCAGAAGAGGGCACCAGATCCCCTAGAACAGGAGTTATAAATGGTTGTAAGCCACTATGTAGGTTCTGGGAACTGATCTAGATTCTCTACAAGAGCAGCAAAGGTGCTTTTAAATACTGAGCAATCTCTCCAGCACTTGCTTCTATGACTGTGACACAAAATTTGCTGAGATGACATTCAGAAAAGGGAGTAAAAAAGGTAAAAGTGAACTTTTACCTGTATCATGCACTCAAACTGGTACATACAAAGGCCCAATTCTGCCATACTTGGTTTAAAAAGTTCACGAAGTCTGTAGTCTTGCATTAATTTAACAAATACACAAAAAGCTTCTTCTTCTGGCATCTATTTTAAGAAGAAAAAAAAGTAACACAGTTCAACATTTCATGATACACAAATAAGCCAAATCACTTTAAACAAAGTACCATGCAATAACAAGTGCTGTTTCTTTCCTTTCATGTGTCTGTGTTTGTGTGTACAATGTTCACAGAGGCCAGAGATAACCCTAGGTGCCATTCCTTGATCTCCATACATCCTGTTTTCTTGAGACAGGATCTCTCACTGTCCCAGGACTTCCTTGCACTGGGATTGCACATGCACACCACCACACTAGGCTTTTTCACATGGATTCTGGACACTGAACTCAGCCCTACCAATAGTGCTTTCAGTGGCTACAGAGTATAGTAAAAAGAGCAATGAAATAAGAATCAGGAGGTTCTAGGCTTCCATTCTGAGAATCAGACAATGACTCTTGCAAACTCTGAGACTAACTGCCTTAACTTGTCTAATTCATTAACTTAATTAATATATATATATGTATGTATGTCTATGGCCATACCACCCTGAATTGAACCTATCTCATCTAACCAACAAGTATTTATTTACAGAAAGAATTCATTATATTCTTTCTAAATATAAGAACAATAGCAACAAAAAACATATAAACTTTACTCTCAAGGAACTTAAAACTTTCTAGAGATAAATAGGTAATATATGGACTAAGTCATATTTATGTCAGTGGTAATGAACGTTGTGGAGATAAGTTGGAAGAGGAGAGAACGTTGGGGAGACAAACTGATATTTACATAAGTCAGAAATGGAAACTTGATAAAGTAAATTTTAACTAAACAAGAGAAGGAAATTAGGGAACATCTGAGGAAAAAACAGTCCTGGAAGACAGAGACTACAAAGGCCTTAAGATGGAACAAGATTCCTATGGTGGTCTGAATGAGAATGACCTCCATAGGCTCATACATTGAATGCTTGGTCCCAGTTAGTAGACTATCTGGAAAGGACTAGAAGATGTGGCCTTATTGGGAGGAAGTGTGGCTTTGTTGGAGGAGGTGTGTCACTGATTGTGGGCTTTTAGGATTCAAAAGCCCACACCAGACCCAGAGTCAGTCGGTCGGTTGGTCTGTCTGTCCATCTCATGTGTGTGTGTGTGTGTGTGTGTGTGTGTGTGTGTGTGTCTGTCTGTCTGTCTGTCTGTCTGTCTCTCTCCTTCCCACCCTCCCCTCTCCACCCTCCCCCTCACTTCTATAAGTTACCTTGGTCATGGTATCTCTTCACAGCAATAGAAAAGTAAAAGACGCTGGCATGCTTAATTAAAAAGCAGGAGACCACTAAAGTGGAAGTAAAATTATCCCTGAATAAAGTAAAATCTACACAAGAAGTACTTAGTAGATGCCAAGCAGAGAATATAAAGTTAAATGTATATTGCTTTAAAAAGATCATGAGTATGGCCGGGCAATGCCTTTAATCCCAGCACTCAGGAGGCAGAGCCAGGCGGATCTCTGTGAGTTCGAGGCCAGCCTGGGCTACAGAGCAGGATCCAGGGCAGGCACCAAAACTGCACAGAGAAACCCTGTCTCGTCGGAGGAGTGGGGGGGGAGTCATTAGTAAAATAGTTATAAAGAAGAAAAAAATGAAACCAAACATACAGGCTTTGGAAGCCATTCTGTAATTCTTCTACTTTTACCTTAAGACAGCTGGAAAGCTTTAAGGAGTCTGAACAGAAGTGATACATGATGTAAATACCAAAAGAACCTCTATGTTGTAAAATTATCCATAATCTGGTTTTAAAAGTATAAATCAATAGGAAATACTCATTAAAAAATAAAGACATTCAAAATATTTAGACAATATCACTTACATGGCTAGATAACTTTCTCAAAATAACACAGTTTTCTAGTCTTCATTTACAGTCTGTAAATGCATTTCAAAAGAGGATGTCCCTAAAAGATCACTCAGGATCGCTTACTGAAGACATTTGCAAATGACAAAATACATTTTCCCCAAGCTCAACACAGTCATGGACAGAACGCAAACCTCCATGTCCTTCCTCTGCCCTAACACAGCCATAGTACTGCTGTGGAGACCATCCCTATTAATGCAAGTCCTAAAGCCCCACTGACTTGTCAGTTACTGTAAGAAGTTTGAGATCCCAGAACTCTCCATCCTATACAGTTCTCTTGGTCCCTTCATCTGACTCTATTTCCAAACTCCCACTTCTATCCTCAATCTCATTCCCCAGGATTCTCATCTTTAAGCTGAAATACGCTGTACCTCAGGGTAGTTGTGTTTTCCACCTCACCACTTCAAAGAGCAGGAGTTAGCAGAGTATCTCCTTGAACTTCAGGGCCCTTCCACTGAATAAACCTCTGCTCCCTAAAACTCATGCCAACCAATGCTACTCATTTGCTCCTCCACAAACTTCTGGGTCACTGCTCTAACAACTCCGTAGTCATTTTCATTGAGATAAATTCTCTAGCTTTTGACTTCCTTTCCTCCAGTGAGCCTGGCAGGAAGTTACTATCTCAGGCTCCACAGCCACACCAAAGGCTGAAACCTGTTTTCTACTTCTTGAATGGCTTTTTCTCCAACTCTAAAATAGTCTCTTGGGGGAGGGGGGCAGGAGTCTCATGAAACAAACTCAGAAGACTCAAGGCCATGTATATACCTCCCAATGTTATACAATCTGTAAACAATTGGAGCACAAGAAGACTTTGGTGGTATAGCTGCTTCCCAGGAAACTCCAGTTAATACAGCTTTTCAAGACAAAAACAAAGAAGAGAACGGGGTAAGAAGGAGGGAGTCCTGACACAGAGCTTTTAAAAGTCAGATAGTAAGGAAACTGAAGTGAAACACCAGGAAACAGATTCTGACCCCTGCTCTGCTTTCACCTACTCAAGGTGGATGAAAGCCACTGAAGATTCACTGTAGGCCTCACGTGTGCCAAACACCACACCAGTCTTACACCTGCGTAACTCTCACAATGCATCCAAACAAAGACAAGAGTATCTAAAACAAGGAGGCTGAATAATCTAGCCTAAGCTCACAGGGTGAGTGTAGAACTGAGATGCAAATTGCAGCCTACACTCCATTCAAGCACACCTACACACACAATCAAGCCATTTTTCAGGATTAAAATTCTGAGACTGCATAAAAAGTAAAATATGATAAGGAAACTTTCAGCAAGGCCAAAGAGATGAATGTATATGCCACTTCCCTTCCCAACTTTAATTGTCCTCCCCTAAATTCTGAGAACATCCTACCCAAACCCACTCCCAAATCAGTACATGCCAATATTATATCCCTGGGGCAGTAAAGGTAGCTGAATAACATAACTTTAGTAAACAAGATAAAAATAACAAGCCTATTGCCAAATGATATATAACACTCCTATATATATTTCCAAACATGCATATAACATAAATAAGATTTTATATGAAAACTTCATTCTTATCATCCTTGATTGAGAAAAGATTATCCCCACTAAATGTTGACAAGTGAAATTTAAAAACAGGTTAAAAGTTTCTGTAGAGTATCTTGGTACTATTGTATATATTAAGAAATAAAGGAGGGGTTGGAAAGACGGCTCAGCAGTTAAAATCTCACACTAGCTGGGTCCCCAGCATCTGTGTCATGCAGCTCACAACTGCCTGTAACTCCAGCTCCAAGAAATTCAAGACCCACTTCCAGCCTCCACAGGTACTATAGGCATGTGCACACACACCCTCCACACACGCACACCACCACCACCATCCACACACATACATAATTAAAAATAAAACCTTCACAAACAAAATAAGAGGCAGAAGTTAGAGAAGCTGGCAAGATGGCTCAACAGACAACGGCCCCTGCCCAGACCAGAGCCTGCGTTTCACTCCTGGAGTGCATGTGGTGAATGACAACCAGCCCTGCAAGTTCTGTCTGGCCGACACACACATGGCTACACACACAGTGTGTGTAAAATGTATTTGTAATTATTTTTTCTAGTTAGGAAGCTGGGCCTGCAGCTCAGTGATACAGCATAGAAGGCCCGAGTTCAATCTCCAAAAAAGAAGGAAGTAGGAGGAAGGGGAAGAACAGAGGGAGAAGGGAGGAAGAGTACAAGAGCTGCAACTTCATTCGGTGGCAAGACAGTATTACCGTACATCGTTTTACATCAAAGTGCAAAAGTAATGTACAATATGTACATTATGTTTAGAAAGATGACACAAATCTGCTTAACTTGGTAAAACCGAAGATGTTTTTTTAATTCTCCAATTGACTTTAAGACACGTAAACAGCTACTACTTACATCCATTAACTCACCTGCATAAGCAACAATCCAACTATAAAAGCACTGCCTTGACAGTAACCAACCTCACGATCCACCAAGGAGTACGCCTAAAAAGTAAAACATGGTGTTCAAAATACTTCAACGTGCATACTGTATCTTCCTTCTCCAAAACCTAAAATTGGTGAAACAGTTACATTAAAAGTCCGTTTATTTGTTTAGAAAAGCTCTTGCTTACTTGTTGCAGATGTTATTCTATAAATATTTAAAAAGCAAATGGTTTATTACATAAAATTTCTTTTGACAATTTCCCAATTAGAAAGTGGCAGCTCCTAAGGACAAAGAAAATAAAGCAATTTACACTCAGAAAAATGATAGGTATCTGATAGAGATAAACATAGTACAGTTAAGGTAAAGAACAAAATTCAAGTAACTCAAGAAATTGGTATTTCACAGAGGTAGATGGGAGAAAAAGAAACTATGAAAATGCAATATGACAGAGGCAATAGGAAATTTTTAAAGGGTTGCCAGCATGCTTAGCAAGTAGGGCCATTATCACAGATCATGAAGTTGATACAGTATGAATTTTCTACTCTAATAAAGAATCCTGCAATGGTCAGTGAGAGTAGGTTATTTGTCAACTAATGCTAAATAATGTAATGAATTTTCTAATTAGTTCCCCAAACTACTGACAATGAAGCATCAGAATTAAAGCAGAGGGCTGGAGAGATGGCTCAGTGGTTAAGAGCACTGACTGTTCTTCTAGAGGTCCTGAGTTCAATTCCCAGAAACCGCATGGTGGCTCACAACCATCCGTAATGAGATCTGGCGCCCTCTTCTGGTACACAAGTAGAACACTGTATACATAATAAATAAATCTTAAAAAAAAGAGAAGAAAAGAAAGCAGAAAGTATGCTAAAACTAAATCTATTGCCCAAGAACCTGATTATTACAATGGGACTTCATACTTTATTATGGAAATGTGTAATTTCAACCTCTTACAAATTCATTTCACTTAAAAAAATGAATAAATAGAGCTTACCTTCATTACATTAAATAAAACCTCCTGTCCAAGGCTATCCTTTTCCTTAAAAAAATTGTGTTCTGGGTAAGTTCTAGCAATGTCTCTTCGGATCAATTTTTCACAAGGTGAAGTCATTTTCAGGAGTTCTGAGTACTGGTCCTTAATTGGCATACTCTGTGCATTACATAAAAGTTGCCAAACTATTGCTCTAAAGTGGTGAGGTATTCCTTTACGAACAAGCTCCTAAAAACAAAAGGAAAACAAAACTTATAAATGTCTCATACCTTGATATCCAAGCATTCTGGGGAGGGGAGTGCTGGAATGGAAAATGTATCAAATTAATAATTTACAAAGCTTGTTTAATAATAAACTATGAAATTCTTTAAAGAAGTCTAAGATTGGCCCTTGGGTCAGTTCTGATTAGGAGCTACAAAGCCATGGACGAGCTGTCATTTCACTGAGAAGGTGGCCTTTAAAGGTCTTAAGGACTTGACAGTCCACAGAGCTACATATCTCACCACCACACCCGTCACATCCAAAGGCTGCTGAAAAGAAAAGGCAAAGTACTGATACAGAGTGTAATGATTTCATTTCTGAATTAACAAAATGGGAGTCTAACTAATTTCTAAAAATATCTTTAACTGTGAATTTCTACATTTTCAGGACCCCTACAACAACCCACAATCTAGAACATCTATCAAGCACAGATGATAAAGACATATAAAACCAATCTGTTCATAACATAGCTCAGAAATTACTAGAATACTTGTTTTCCTAATGCCCTACTAATCCATGCCTGATACTCTCTGGGATAAGAAAAGGAACTTCAGTAAATAACGCAGATACCTTCACTTGCTTTTCTTTCTTCTTGCGTACATCATCCCATTCATTCACAATTCTTCCCCAAAGAATCCAAGAGTCCTCTTCCAGGTGACTGAGGTTGCTGGAGGCTGATGAACTTGATACAAGAGAAGAGCCACTGTTTCTTCTTGACCCATTTACAGATCTTAAAGACTTACTATCAGTCTCTATCAATCTAAAACAGAATTAAAATTGTTTAAGGTGTCATCTCACACGAAACTAGATGAAGTAAGGATTGCATTTAAAGCTTCATTACAATAATTAGTCTTTAAGACATGGGTTCTTTTGTTTGTTTGTTTGGTTGGTTGGTTGGTTGGCTGGTTGGTTGGTTGGTTGGTTGGTTGGCTGGTTGGTTGGTTGGTTGGTTGGTTGGTTGATTAGTTCCTCAAGCTGGAACTCACTCTGTAGACCAGGCTAGCCTCAAATTCAGAGATCCTCCTGCCTCTGCCTCCCAAGTAGATTAAAGGCGTGTGCCAACATGCTGGCTTTCAGACACAGTTTCAACAATTTTTGTTTGGTTAAAATCAGCAACTGTTGCACTTTTCCACTATGCATTCATATTCATTTCCATTGAAAATAAATAACAAAGAAGCCAGTAAGAAGACTAAGAGGATAAAGGTACTTGCTGCCAAATCTGACAACCTGAGTTCAATCCCCAGTGCACACAAACTGACCCCTGTGCTCTCCTCTGACTCCACATGTGTGCTGCAACACACACACACACACACACACACACACACACACACACACACACACACCTTTAAAAAAAAAAAACAAAAACAAAAACAAAAACGAAGGGAGCCCAGTACATAGGCACTCAGCTGAGATCTAGTATCGTTATTTGCAGATGGTATGATTTTATATGCAAATGACCCTAAAAAAAACGACCAAGAAACTTCTACAGTTGATAAACAGTTTCAGCAAAGTAATAGGATACAAAATGAACACACAAAAATCAGAAGCCTTCCCATATACAAATAACAGACTGAGCAAGAAATCAGAGAAACAGTACCCTCACAACAGCCCCAAAAAATAAATACATAAATAAATTACTTTACAATAACTCTAACCACGAAGTGAAACCCGAGTATAATAAAAATTTTAAGACCTTAAAGAAAGAAATCAAAGAAAATATCAGACAAAGGAGAGATCTCCAACATTCATTGATAGGTAGGATTAATATAGTGAAAATGGCCAACCTGCCAAAAGCAATCTATAAGTTCAATGCAATCCCCATCAAAACCCCAACACAAAGAAATTGAAAACACAACTTTTACCTCATAGGAACACACACACACACACACACACACACACACACACACACACACACACACCAGGATAGCTACAACAATCCTTAATAATAAAAGAACTGCTGAAGGTATCACCATTCCAGATTTCTAGTTGTACTACAGACTGATAATAATAAAAAAAAACATGGTATTGGCATAAAAACAAACACACTGATCAACGGAATCAAATTGAAGACCCAGACATAAGTCCACACACCTACAGACACCCAATTCTTAACAAAGAAGTAAAAAATACACATTGAAGGAAGATATTATCTTCAACAAATGGTGCTGGTCAAACTGGATGGCTGTATACAGAAGAAAACAAATAAATCTATAGTTAGTTCCCTGCACAAAATTCTACACCAAGTAGAACCAAGGTATATAGTTATGGAGAGACGGTTGGTGTGTGTGTAGGGGGCTCAAACAAAAAGATTAAACATGGAAGGATGAGTGGGATAAAGGAGGGAATGCTGAGGAAGGACACCTAACATTAAGAGCCATTTGAAGGGTCATAGAGAAACCTATTCCTGTAGAAGCTACTTCAAGAAATATATATAAATGGAGTGCCCCAACTAAACATCTTTTGCCACCAAATCAAACTTCCAGTGCCAGGAATGGGTTACGTGTAGCTGAGTCACTAGTGACCTGCCTGTATAAAATGCTAGTGCAGCAGTGGCACGAAAGTTGTGGGTGTAACCAGCCACTACTCCATGAGATGGAACCCACGCCTGACACTGCTCAGGTGGCCAAGAACCTGAGACTAGACAGGCCATGGGCCTAAGGAAAACCACACACTGTTGTTCTGCTACAGTAACACGGCAACAATGATTCCTAACAACATTCTGCTATACACACTGATCAGTGTCTCACTCAGCCATTACTAGAGAGGCTTGTGGTAGATGGGGAACTAATACAGAGACCTACAACTGGATAATGAATGTGCAAAGACTGAGAGACACTGGAACACTCAGTCCTAAATGAGATGTCTTCATCAAACCCCTCTGCTCAGGGCTCAGAGAGCTATATGGAAGAGGAGGAAGAAAGATTTTAAGAGCCACAGGGGATAGAAGACACCAAGGAAACACGGCCTTCTAGACACAACAGGACTGATGCACAAGTCAATTCACAGACTGCGGCAGCACGCACAGCCTGCAGATAAGGTCCCAGTGCTGAGGGGGAGAGGGACAGGACCTCCAATCCCTCACCTAGAAGCTAGCTCCAACTGACAATCACTGGCAGAGGGAAAATCAGTTTCTACAATGAAATCTCACTGGGTATATCAACCAAACGTAAGGTAGGGCCATGCTCAGCAGTAGGACAATCCACAACTAACTTAACGGTGTTTTGTGGATTTTATTTGTTTCATGCTGCCTGGAGCATTTTTTTATCCTACTGGTCTTCTGCTTGTGTATTATGGTTTCCAATTGTGTTATTATGGGTTCTGTTTTTGAATCTGCGTTTCTTGTGATTTTTAGTTTTTGCTGCTGTTTATTTTGGTTTGTCTTTCCTTTTTTTTACTTGACTGTTTGTTTCCTAAGAAACAGAGAAGGCATGGAGTTGACACTGGGAATGTACATGGAGAACTGCCTTTTATTACTATAACTTTCCAAAATGTGTTTAAAATAATGTGAATTACTTAGTGAAAGATTATTTTGGTACCCTTTGTAAAGAGAAGATGTGTGAACATGTATCTGCTTTCTCAAGTTTCTGGTATATTCTAGAAAATTTTGGAATTCTCTTAAAAATTCTAAAAAAATTTTTTTGCTTAAAAAAAGAAAAGTCCTTTTGTCTGAGACTTGAAGCATCTGTGGAATACTTGACACATCAAGTCTCTTCTCAGTGAACCAAAGGTGTACTTGGTATCCCGGTGACAGCTGCACCATGATATCACAGCACAATCGATTATGAGTTTGTGATGATGGCGATGTGCCAATCCCACCATCCCTGGTCAACTGTCACCGTCCCGGGCTGTCCATCCGCGTCCATCTGTGGTCCCAGGCTGCAGCCAGGCTGTCTGGCTCGAGCCCGGGCAGAGGCTCCGGCGGAGGGATCCGCGGAGGCTGCGGTCTCGGAAGACGAGACCGCTTCTGCGGCGGCACAAAAAGGGGCGGCTGCAGGGAGATGTGCCAACGGATGTGAAGACGGATACTGTGAGCACGGTGGCTGGCCCAGAAGCTGAGTGGGCCTCGGCCCTCAGCACATCCTGCCAGGGCCAGGCCAGAACTGCCCGCCTCCTCTTCTGCAGCTGATCCACAACCAACAAGGCAGCCTCAGGCCCTCAGGCCCTGCCTCATTCCACTAGGGCCACCAAGACAGCCTTCCACCATGGCTCTGAAGAGAATCCATAAGGAACTGAACGACCTGGCGCAGGATCCCCCAGCACAGTGTTCAGCAGGCCCTGTCGGGGAAGATATGTTCCACTGGCAAGCTACAATCATGGGGCCTAATGACAGCCCCTACCAGGGAGGGGCGTTTTTCTTGACAATTGACTTCCCAACAGAGTACCCCTTCAAACCACCCAAGGTTGAATTTACAACAAGAATTTATCACCCAAATGTTAACAGTAATGGCAGCATTTGTCTTGATATTCTTCGCTCACAGTGGTCTCCAGCACTAACTATTTCAAAAGTACTTTTGTCCATCAGTTCTCTGTTGTGTGATCCCAATCCAGATGATCCCTTAGTGCCTGAGATTGCTCAGATCTACAAAACAGATAGAGAAAAGTACAACACAACAGCCCGGGAATGGACTCAGAAGTATGCCATGTGACTAGAGAGATTATTGGATATCCTCTACAAATAAAAGCTCAGGGAACTGTAGAAAGTCCTTCTGATTCCCATCTGACTGACTGCTATGAACCACGCTGCACCGCTTCGTCCTTCCGGTGTTCTCCACCTGACACAGTACTGCTGTAAGCTGTACGCACCAGAAATACTGTGCTTCATTCCAACACTCTCTCCTAGCACAGGAGCGTTCTCGAGGCATAAGCAAGATGTGAGATTAAAAGTTTTCCTAACTGACTTAAATCTGAATAACCAGTGTGAGGGGTGGTGGGTACACAACACTGTTTAGAAGGGGTAAAGTGCCACCAACCTGTAGGAGATTGTGAGACTGCTTTTAAGTGGAAGCCATTTACATTTTAAAAGTTATGAAAAGCTAGGTGAAGAACATGAAAGTTTCTGTACTCATTTTATTCTATAACACCTAGAACTTAGATGAACATTAAAACCAACCAGATTAAATCCACCTCCTTTATTTTAAGGTCTAATCGGTCAAGAAAAATAGATTGGTGCTGTTAGTCCACAAAGTGTGATTGGCTTTGTTCCTAAATCCTTTATACCTCCTCCCTGACTCTGCAACCTCCTTTCTCTCAGTCTTTCTCTCCATAGTCTTTGGGTTTATTTGTGGTTTCTCAGTAGATACATCACTAATAGCTCTTATTTTTCTTACATTAACTGATTAATCCATTTGGATGTAAGGGTAAAAATTTCATTTGTTGAAAAAATGTGTATAAAGACCCAATTGCTCTTCTGGAGCTTGTACATTCAAGATGATTAATCTGTGTAATAAACCAGCTATTCCAGCCATTGCATAAATGTTAATCTGTATAATATATCAACTATTCCAGCCATTGCATAAGTGATAATCTGTGTAATGAACCAACTATTCCAGCCATTACATAAATGATAACCTGTATAATAAACCAACTGCTCCAGCCATTACATAAATTTTGTGTGAATATGTTTTTTGCTTTAAGAACCTTGTTTGGCTGAAATTAGTAGATTTTCACTTAGCCTTGATATTTTTATTTAGATTGGTCACATTTTCAAATCATGAAACAATTCCATTTTACAGTTAAAAAGGCAGTTTAAAAGTAATTTTAGCCAGGCAATGTTGTGCATGCCTTTAATCCCAGCACTGGGGAAGCAGAGAAGGATGGATCTCTGCGAGTTCAAGACCAGCCTGGTCTACAGAGTGAGTTCCAGAATAACCAGAACTACACAGAGAAACCCTGTCTCAAAAAAAAAAAAAGAGTAATTTTATTAAATATGATAGAGGCATAAGCTTAAAGGCTTATGAAATAATATACAGCCTCCCAGGAATAAAACTTAATAAATATAAATAAAAAGAAATGATGACAACCTGACTTGGCCTAGACTAACAGATGTACACATGCATGTATGCCTGTGTGCTTATGTGCACACATGTGTCTTTTTAACCAAAGATTTTTAAGTAAATTTTTAAATTTTAAATAAAGTTTATGTAATAAAAAAGTATTTTTGTAACTTTCACATTGTTTTAAGCCAGTTTTTACATGCATAAGAGTCAAAAAATTTATCAAAATTCCAGTATGAAAAGACACACCTGTCATTCCAGTACTTGGAAGGCTGACATAGGCTCACAAGGCCATCTTGAACTATGTAATGAGATGTCTCTTCCCCCAAAAAAAGTTTGAAGAAAAAAAATTGTAGCTCTAATGTAGCACAGCCAGGCACTGCAGCGTACATTTGTAATTCCAATACATCGGAGGCAGAAGCAGAAAGATCACTAGAAGTTCAGGGCCAGCCTGTATAGAGTGCACCAGGCCAGTCACAGCTATATGTGAGGCTGTTTTTAAACAAAACAAAACAAAAAAATCCTAAACCTTAATTATATAGTATATAGTATAATATATATATATTTATATATAGCCAACTGAAGTGCAGCCTCCTGGGCCTTCCCATGCATTGGGCACTCGCTGTAGTAAGTGTGCATAAGGCCTGCAGCAGTGTGGCATACTGCACCTTCACATCTACTCGCTGGCTCAGAGCCTCAAGATCTGCTGTGGTAAATGCCATACACAAGCACACCACTGTTAACTTTGATGTTGCATTTTTCTGTGTGCCTTTTCTGTTTAGATAACACAAATACCATTGTCTTATCATTAGCTACATTATTTATACAATATACAGATTTAGAGCCTCTTATCATTAACTACATGATTTATACAATATACAGATTAGAGCCAGGGAGCAGCGGGCGAGTCTGTATGAGAACACTCTAAAGCTCACACATCAAAAAAACCACCAACAAAGCCTTTCCTAGATCTACGTCACAAATGACACGGGATTATATTTGGACGTGGCATTCAAGAAAAGCATTTACAGGCTGGAGAGATGGCTTAGTGGTTAAGAGCACTGACTGCTCTTCCAGAAGACCCTGGTTCAATTCCCAGCACCCACATGGCAGCTCACAACTGTCTATAACTCCAGTTTCTGAGACCCAACACCCATGGCAAAACACCAATGTATGTGAAATAAAAATAAGAAAGAAAGAAAGAAAAGAAAAGCATTTACAAATGCCTTAATATGCAGAGTTTATAAAAATATACTATTAGAATAAAGTACTCTCATTTCTTATTGTTAAATGGGGTTAACAACTTCAACGTAATTAAGAAATTACAACAGTGGAAGAGGACACACTGCCTGAAAGTCAGTCATTTCTAGACCGGAGCCAGGAAACTAGGAAACTAGGATGCAGCATCAGATAAAAGTCTGTGGCCACTGAAAGTTCCTCTAAAACTTACTCAGTTATTTTCTTCACCACATGGGTTCACCATCCTACATGAAGTAGAGAACCAGGAGAGACTATAAAATGGAGGGTACTTTAGGTTTTCTCTCTAACAGATGAACTTTATATCTCTGGTTCTGAGAACTGAGCAGCACCAAGACGCTGCCTTCCTCAGGAAAGGGGTACACAGCACAGGCCTCATGGGGCATACATACGAGCAGCAGTTTTTGTTGTGTTGGGTTCTTCTGGGGTTTGGGCTTTGGTTTAGGTCTGTTTGTTTGTTTTGAAAGCCGAGGCTGTTTACTTTGCATATGGAAGCCTGCATGCAAAAAAAAAACCATTAAAAACAAAAACCCATGTAACACACTGTGTAATTGAAAAGTACAAAGGGCCCTGGCATGCCACTCTCATCCTACCCGACCCCTGCAGCTGGCAACCAGCCAGCCCATGAGATTATTGCTGCCCTCAACCTTAGAGAAACTTCTTTCTACTGTGTGTGCACGTGCATGCATGTGAGCATGTGCACATGTGCAATGAGAAACACGTATGTTCAAGTGTTAGCGTGAGTACTACTGAGTGCTCAGCCCTAGACAGGATATCTCCAGTACCTCTCCTAAGGCCTAGGGAACACCATAGAAAAGATAGCATAAAGATTTATGAAGGCAGGACGATGGGGAGAGGGCGTGCCATGAAACACGGCAGCAACTGTGGTCACCTTGACAAGACTGGAGTGAGGAGGTGCCCATGGGGCTGCACTCCCCCAGGAGCCATTGGCAGTTGATGGTTACAGGGCCAGGGAATCACTTTCCTCAGCAGTTAAGAAACCCTAGTAGATGGAGAACCTGTCTAGGGGAGAGAGGTTCAGTAGGAGTGAGAGAGTTAGTGAAGAAGGAGATACATATGGTAGAGCTATGCTACATACATGTATGAAGTTGTCAAGAAATTAAAACAGTATCAACAGAAAAGAAGTTTTCAGGAATCAGTATTTGGGCTTTGACGTACTTGGAAGACATCCTTATAGACAGTACCAACAGCAGTTTGAAACACAAGCCTAAATAAAGTTCAGGAAAGAAAAAGGTAAAGATTACAGAAATTCAGCAACTGTGAACAGATGACATTAAACACTTTGAATATTAGATGAGATTTGGCTCAGTGTTTTCCTGTGGTTTTCAGAGCAAAATACAACAGCAACTAGTCAGCACACCAACCGGTAATCTGTAAACTGCTAAGATAGTTTATAAAGAACTCAGGCAGGAAAATGCTGTATTAGAAAACCATATGGAAAGCTAAATATTCTGGCACTTCAAGCAGAGAGTCTTATCACAAACTGAACAGTGTATCCAGCCTAAGGTTCCAAGGTCTCTATTAATATAACAACAAAACAGGGCGGGAAGCATGCTGGGAGAAAGAGAATAATTTGTCAACTAAATAGTTAACAAATCAGTAAAATCTGGCTCATTAAAGTCTATCTGGGTCTGCTATAACAAAATTACATTAGGTAATTTATAAACAACAGGTATTTATTGTTCACGGTTTTGAAGTTGGGAAGTCCAAAATCCAAGCACTAAGATTCAGGTCTGACAAGGGCCATGTCTCACTAATAGTGCCTTCTACTAAAGTGTTCACACATGACAGGTGCTGCCAAAGGCTCCCTAAACCTCTTTTTTATAAGACATTAAGAACAGAGCTTCCAAAAGACTTCTTATACTTCAGATTAGAGTCCAACACAGGAATTCTGTAGTCACAAACATTCAGACCCCAGCAAAACTACATGCCTGACTCAGAGAAGTCACATGCTTTCCTATCAACACATACAAATTCCCCTGATCAATAAAAAATAACAGGGAATTAACAGACACAAGAATTTAGCATAGAAAACAACACAAAAGTGTCAAAATGATAGATCTGAAAAACCAATTTCTTTCTTTGCTTTCTTTAAAATGACGGCTCAAGTTCAAGACTCCTTTACACAAAGAACTGAAAACGGAAATGATTTATTGTTTTATTTATTTGGGTTTCTTTGTTTATTTTGAAATAGAGTCTCACTCTATAGCCCAAGCTGACCTGGAACTTGTGGTGATCCTTCTGCCTTCCAAGTGCTAGGATTAGCATGAACCAGCACACAGAGCTGCTTTATCCAATATAAAGAAATGTCATTTCAAAAGAGAAAAATGTCATTTTAAAATGCACTCAAGTTTTCTTAAAATTAATGTTATATTACTTTTTTAAAAACAAGCCTTCAAAATCTGGTATAGTCTACCTTTAACAGCATGTTTAAGGCGGATGAGGCACCTTTGAAGGGCCCGGCAGCCATGGGGTTAGTGGCTAAAACACTCCACAGTGCAGATCTCATGTGGACATTTAAACTAAGATATCAAAGATTTATGGTCATTATATTTTAAAAACATAAAATATACTTAGTATAAAAATGGTTGTTTTATCATCGTAGTATCTCTCCTTGAAGGATATGCTAAAAAGTAAATTTAAGTAAAAGGAAATAAACATGGTTGTTATACTAAAATTTTAAACATCACAAATAGGTAGT